TCTTCCTCCCCCTCCTCCTCCTCTTCGTCCTCCTCCTCCTCCTCCACCTCCTCCTCCTCCTCTTCCTCCTCCTCCTCCTCCTCGTCCTCGAGCCATGAGCCCCGCGGCAGCGGCCTGGCTGCTGCTCTGGGGCGCGGCGGGCGGCCTAGAGGCCCCCGCGCCCGGCGGCGGGCCCTACGCGCGGGCCGTCGCGCTTTTCACGCAGGGGCGCGTCGAGGAGGCGGCTGGGCTCGCGGAGGAGGCGCGCCGGCTGCAGCCCAGGAGCGGGGAGGTTCGGGCGGGTGGTAACGGAGGGTGACCCACCCAGGGGTTTCAAAGGGGCCCTTTAGGGCCCCTTTAGGGCACCAAGCGGCTCCCGAAGGGGCCCTAGCACCCAGTTCTGCACGAACGAAGTGGGTACTGAAAGAGAAGGTACAATGCCCAACAGTAGTTCCTGTTCATTTCGAACAGGACTCGCTGTCCGCGCCGCCGCGGCCTGTGTCCATTTGAGACAGGAGGCCTGCCCAACAGCGGCCGCTGTTGGTTTGGGACAACATTTGTTGTTGGGCATTGTGCCCATTCTTTCCGTGCCCATTTCGGGCGTCCAAACAATTGGTTCCAAAAGGGGCCCTAGCACCAACTGGCTCCAAAAGGGGCCCTGAAGCGTTCTTTTAGGCCCCTTTTCTTCAGCCCCCAGTCGGGGTCGCCCCCCACTACCACCCGCCCGGGAGGTGCTGAATCTCGTCGCCGGCGTGCACGCCTCGCGGGCCGATGCCGCGGGCATTCCGTACGATCAAAATGGGTACTCAGAGGAGGGGGAGGTACCCATACCGCTACCCCTCCCCTGATTTCTTCTTTTTGGGCCTCCTGGGAGGCTCTCGCGGTCCTGGGAGTAGCGGTATCGGTTCCTTACGGTGTCCCCAGGTGCGAAACGAGCGGGTGCGAAAATTGGCAGCGGCGTCTGTTCATTTGGAACAGGACTTGTGGTCGGCGTCCCCGCGGAGGTAGTCCGTTTGGGACAGGCGGCCAGCTGCCCAACCGCGACCGTTGTCGGTGTTGGACAGCATCTGATGTGGGGCATTGCATCCATGTGTTCCGTACCCATGTCTGGCGTCCACAGGCATGCGGCCAGGGGGCGCCAGGGAGGCGCGCAAGGCCGCGCTGAAGGCGGCGAGCGCGGTCATCGATGCCATAAAGCTCAGACCGGACGACCCGGCGCTCCGCTTCAACCTCGTCAAGCTGCTGCGAGGCCACCTCGGGGGGCGCTTCGAGCGGCACGCGGAGGCGCTGAAGCACGCGCGGGTGGCCGTGCGGCTGCGGTCGGATGACGTGAGTTATGGCCTCTTGCTGCTTGAGCAGCTGGGCGACAGCGCCAAGCAGATGAGCTGGACCAGCAGCCTGGACCTCGACGCCATTCAGAGCGACCTGGAGGGGTTCGTGGCGCTGTTGAAGCGGAGGGCCAACCTGGGCACTCCAGCTGGTCGCGTCAGCCGCCACGACTTCTACCACCACTGGTTCCGGGCGGTGCAGTTCGCCTCGACGACGCTGCAGGACGCCGCACTCGCCGCGGACATCTGCCTGACGGCGGCGCGGGCGATGGCACCGTCGGAGAACGGCGAGGCGCTCTTTCACTGGGCGACGCTGGTGCCTGCGGTGTTCTCCAGTCAGCAGCACGTCGACGAGACCCTCTCGGAGCTGCACCGGAGGCTCTCGTGGCTCGAGTCCGAGGCTGTCGCCGGCCGTGCCCAGGTAAACGAGGCCGACGAGGCGGGCGGGCCAGAGCTGCTGAGTTCGCCGCCATCCTGCTTCCTTGGCTACCTGGGGGGCAACCAGCTGAACATCAGCCGGCGAGCCGCGAGCGCTCTGAAGGCCTTGGCCCCCTCGCGGCTCCTGCAGCGCGCGCCACACGCGGCGTCGTTGCGAGGGGGCCCTCCTCGAGGCGTGGACTTGGACGGCTGCGCCGGCTCCGCGGCGCCCCGCGGCGGCAGGCCGCGCGTCGGCTTCCTCTGGGGGTTCGGCCAGCAGCATGCGGTGAGCCGGGCGGTGGACTGGATGGTGACACGGCTCGACCCGGAGCGGCGGGACTTCGAAGTGCACCTGCTGCTGCTGGACCAAGCGGGCGGCGCTGGCGGCTCGGGCCCGGCCGAGGCGGTCCTGAAGGCCGCGGAGCACGCCGTGAGGGTGCCCAGGCGGCTGCCGGAAGCGCGGGCGATCCTGGCCGGGCTCCGGCTGGACGTGCTGGTGCTGCCCGAGCTCGGCCTGGACCCGGTGCGCTACGTGCTGGCCTTCGGGAGGTGGGCGCCAGTGCAGGTGGTGGCGGTGCTCGGGCATCCGCTGTCCAGCGCGGCAGAGGGTGTGGATTACGCCGTCAGCAGCGCGGCCTTCGAGGTGCCTGGCGCGCCCGCGCAGGAGCTCTACGCGGAGGAGCTGGTGCGCCTGCCAGGGCTGCCTCCGCTGGAGAGGTCGCCCGAGGTGCTGTCGCACCGGGTGTCCGTCCCGCGCGACGAGCTGCTGCGCACGGTCGGCCTGGACTGGTTGGCTCGCGCGGAGGGGGGGCAGGGCGACGGTGCCGAGGCAGACTTCCGCCTGTACCTGCTGCCGAAGTCCAGGAAGAAGCTGCACCCGGGCTTCGACGCCGCGCTGCGCGGGATCCTGGAGGCCGACGTGGGCGCGGTGCTGGTGGTGCTGGCCCAGAGCGACGGCGAGCCCGCCGCCTCCGTCGAGGGCGAGCTGCTGGCCCGCCTGCGGGCCGCGGGCGTTCCCTGCGGGGCCGACGACGGTGAGCGGCGGCGGTGCGCTGTGAAGGCCGGGTACCTCAACACCACGGCGTTTCTGTCGTGGATGCAGCACGCGGATGCCCTGCTGGAGAGCGCGCCGTTCGGGGGCTTCACGGCCACCCTGCAGGGCCTCCAGCTCGGGCGCCCCTGGGTGGTGCTGCGGGACGTCGAGGGGCCGTCCTCGGGGATCATGAGCGCGGCGCTCCAGGACCCGGGCCGTCCACGGGCTCGCTGTGCGTGCGGAGGGCTGCGCGTGGTATCGATCAGTGCGATCGTGCATTCCCGAGTGCGTGTTCGTTGCGTGAGACTCGCTCCCCAAAGAAACCTCTGGGCAGGTTACAAGAGGTCACCGCAGCGCTCGCGGCGGCCACACATCGGGGCAAGTTTTTTTCCGGGAAGGGCTGGGGCCCAGGGTTTTTTCCCGGAAAGGGCGCAGGCCCAGGGTTCTCTTTTAGTAGGATCACCCCCGGATCTGACGGGAAGAGGGCCGGCGGATTTCTTTTGCGATAAATGACGAGTGGGACGAGGGCCGGCGAATTAAACTTTCAGGGTGTCCCTAGCGAAACGCTTGTTTTTCAGATGTTGTTGAGGATGTCTCGAGCGAAACGCTTGTTGTGTGTTATATATTGTCCTCTCCTGGGGACCAGAATTTAGCGGATCTCTCAAGTGAAATGCTTGTTTGCGCGTGCCCAGGTCTTGAGGATGTCTCGAGCGAGACGCTTGGTTTCACGCCTCCAGGTTGCCCAGGCAGAGGTCAAGCGCCAGGATTTGTTGAGGATGTCTCGAGCGAGACGCTTGGTTTCGCGCGTCCTCGTCGCCCAGGCGGATGTCTAAAATGAGGAGGTGTTGAGGAAGTTTCGATCGAGATGCTTGTTTGCACGTGTCCAGGTTGACCAGGCGGATGCCTAGCATGAGGATGTGTTGAGAATGTCTCGAGAGATACGCTTGTTTTCACGTGTCCAGGTCGCCCAGGCGGATGTCTAACATGAAGATGTGTTGAGGATGTCTCGAGCGAGACCTTTGCTTTCACGTGTACAGGTCGCCAAGGCGGATGTCTAGAATGAGGAGGTGTTGAAAACGTCTCGAGCGAAACGATTGTTTTCACGTGCCGAGGTCACCCAGGCGGACGTCTCACATGAAGATGTGTTTAGGATGTCTCGAGCGAACTACTTGTTTTCACTTGTCTTAGGATGTCTCGAGCGAACTACTTGTTTTCACGTGTCCAGTTCGCCCAGGCGGATGTCTAGCATGAGAATGTGTTGAGGATGTGTTGAGCGAAACGTTTGTTTTCACGTGTCCAGGTCGCTCAGGCGGATGTCTAGAATGAGGATTTTGACAGGATGTCTCGAGCGAAACGCTTGTCCCCAGCACGTTCCGTAGCGCGTCCCCTTGGCACGTCCCGCGGTACGACCCCATGGCACGTCCCCTGGCACGTCCCCTGGCGCGTCCCTTGGGACGTTCGGCGGCGCGTCCTCCTGGCATGTCCCTCTGTCAATTAGCTCTGCGGCAGATACTATTTGTTCAGGCAGCTCGAGCTTACGCTCCAGATCAGTGCGGTCAGGACTCGGATGCAAAGGAGGACTCGATCCACGACGCTACAGAGCACAACCGCAGCATGGCACATCGCAATTCAGCACGGTGCAGCACAGCACAGACTTGTGCACGGTACTTCAAGATCGATACAATCAGCATTGCAACCTGGCACGTTCCTTGGCACGTTCCGTGGGGCGTCCCTTGGCGAGTCCCCCTGGCACGTCGCGTGGCGCGTCCCCTGGCACATTCCGTGGCACATCCATTGGCACGTTCCGTAGCGCGTCCCCTTGGCACGTCCTACGGTGCGACCCCATGGCACGTCCCCTGGCACGTCGCCTGGCGCGTCCCTTGGGACGTTTCGCGGCGCGTTCTCCTGGCATGCCCCCTTGTCAATTAGTTATGGGGCAGCTACTATGTGTTCAGGCAGCCCGAGCTTAAGATCCAGATCAGTTCGGTGAGGACTCGGATGCAAAGGAAGACTCGATCCACGACGCTATAGAGCACAACCGCGGCATGGCACATCGCAATTCAGCACGGTGCAGCACAGCACAGACTTGTGCACGGTACATCAAGATCGATACAATCAGCATTGCATTTGCCCGTCACCCAATCAGGTGTCTTTGAAAACGTTGCCATGCGTTACATTTCTATGTTCCTTTCCGGGTTCGTGGGTCGATCATGTTTAGTTGGTCAACTGTTCCCGGTGGCAAGTTCGAAGAGGGCCAGCGGAGTCTTTCCTTAATATAATAGCGAGATCGCAGAAGGCCGGTGGATTAGGATTAGAGGATGCCCCGGGCAACACGCTGGTTCTCGAATTCCCGATCGATGGAACACAGGGTGAAGTAAGCATTTCCGTTTGTTGCGGATGTCTCGAACGAAACGCTTGTTCCCGGAAAGGGCGCAGGCCCAGGGTTCTCTTTTAGTAGGTTTACCCCCGGATCTGACGGGAAGAGGGCCGGCGGATTTCTTTTGAAATAACGAGTGGGAGGAGGGCCGGCGAATTAAAATTTGAGGTTGTCCCTAGCGAAACGCTTGTTTTTCAGAATTTGTTGAAGATATCTCAAGCAAAACGCTTGTTTTGTGTTGTAGATTGTCCTCACCTGGGGAGCAGAATTTAGAGGATCTCTCAAGTGAATTGCTTGTTTTCACGTGCCCAGGTCTTGAGGATGTCTCGAGCGAGACGCTTGGTTTCACGCCTCCAGGTGGCCCAGGCAGATGTCTAGCATGAGAATTTGTTGAGGATGTCTCGAACCAGAGGCTTGTTTTCACGTGTCCAGGTCGCCCAGGCGGATGTCTAGTATGATCATTTGTTGAGGATGTCTCGAGCGAGACGCTTGTTTGCACGTGTCCAGGTTGCCCAGGCGGATGTCTAGCATGAGGATGTGCTGACAACGTCTTAAGCGAAACACGTGTTTTCACGTGTCGAGGTCGCCCAGGCACAGCACAGCCCTCGGCACGGTACATCAATGTCGATACCCTTAGCATTGCAGCCTGGCATGTTGCCTGGCACGTTCCGCGGAGCGTCCCGTGGCGAGTCCCCCTGTCACGTCGCGCGGTGCACGTCCATTGGCACGTTCCGTAGCGCGTCCCCTTGGCACTTCCCGCGGTGCGTGCCCATGGCACGTCCCCTGGCACGTCGCCTGGCGCGTCCCTTGGGACGTTCGGCAGCGCGTCCTCTTGGCATGTTCCCTCTGTCGATTAGTTCTGGGGCAGCTACCATCTGCTCAGGCAGCTCGAGCTTACGCTCCAGATCAGTTCGGTCAGGACTTAGATGGCAGGGAGGACTCGACCCACACCGCTATAGAGCACGGCCCAGCACAGCACAGCCGTCGGCACGGTACATCAAGATCGATATACTCAACTATGCACTTTGGCACGTTCCTTGGCGCGTTCCGTGGCGAGTCCACCTGGCACGTCGCGCGGCGCGTCCCCTGGCACGTCCCTCGGCACGTCCATTGGCACGTTCCGTAGCGCGTCCCCTTGGCACGTCCCGCGGTGCGTGCCCATGGCACGTCCCCTGGCACGTCGCCTGGCGCGTCCCTTGGGACGTTCGGCGGCGCGTCCTCCTGGCATGTTCCCTCTGTCGATTAGTTCTGGGGCAGCTACCATCTGCTCAGGCAGCTCGAGCTTACGCTCCAGATCAGCTCGGTGAGGACTCGGATGCCAGGGAGGACTCGGTCCACATCGCTATATAGAGCACAACCGCGGCATGGCACATCGCAGTTCAGCACGGCGTAGCACAGCACAGCCCTCGGCACAGTACATCATCATCGATACATTCAGTATTGCTTGTGCCCGTCGCCCAATCAGGTGTCTTTGAAACGTTGCAGTGTCTTACATTTCTATATTCCTTTCCGGGTTCGTGGGTCGATCATGTTTTTCCGAGTTTGTTGAGAATGTCTCGAGCGAAACGTCTGGTTGGTGCTAGTTGTAGATCGTTCTTTTCCTGGGGACCAGAATTCAAAAGATGTCTCAGGTGACATGTGTTTTTCACCTGCCCAGGTTTTGAGGACGTCTCTAGCCAGACGCTTGGTTTCACGCCTCCAGGTTGCCCAGGCAGATGTCCAGCCTCAGGATTTGTGCGAGACGCTTGTTTGCACGTGTCCAGGTCGTCCAGGCAGATGTCTAGCATGAGGATTCGTTGAGGAGGCATCTAGAGAGACGCTCGTTGTCGCGTGTCCAGGTCGCCCAGGCGGATTTCTAGCATGAGGATGTGTTGAGCGACTTGCTTGTCTTACGTGTCCAGGTCGCCCAGGCGGATGTCTAGCATGAGGACTTGATGAGAATGTGTTGAGAGAGACGCTTGTTTTCACGTGTCCAGGTCCCCCATGCGGATGTCTAGCATGAGGATATGTTGAGAAGGTCTCGAGCGAAACGTGTAGTTTCACGTGCCCCCAGGTCGCCTGTCTAACATGAACAGGTTCAGGATGCCTCGAGCGAGACGATTGCTTTCACGTGCCCAGGTCGCCCAGGCGGATGTTTAGCATGGGGATGTGTTGAGGATGTGTTGAACGAAACGCTTGTTTTCACGTGCCCAGTTCGCCCAGGCGGAGTGTCTAACATGACGATGTTCGGAGGATTTCTTGAGCGAGACGCTTGGTTTCGCGTGTCCAGGTCACCCAGGCGGATGTCTAGCATGAGGATGTGTTGAGGATGTCTCGAGCGAGACGCTTGGTTTCGCGTGTCCAGGCCGCCCAGGCGGATGTCTGACATGAGTATGTGTTGAGGGTCTTTCGAGCGAAACGCTTGTCGTAGTAGAGTGCGTCGCAGTCAAACCCCGCCCGTCTGTGGCGCGTCCCCTGGCGCCCTGGCGCGCACCCTGGCGCGTCCCTTGCGACGTTTAGGCGTGACGTGCCCTGGCACGACCTCTAGCACGCCACTCGGCGTGGCACGTTCCCTGGCTCGTCGTCTGTCGCGTGTCCTTGCTCGTTTTTATGGGGTTTCCCCTGCCCGTGCCGTGGCGGGCCCCTTTTGACGTCCTTTGGCATGACGTTTTCTGGCCGCTCTACGGCACGCGCTGTGGCACGTCCCGTGCCAGATCCCTGACACGTCCAGGGCACGTCACCCGATGCGTCCCCTGACACGTCCCCTGGCGCATCCCCTGTTGCGCCCCCCGGAACATCCCGTGTCGCGTCCGCGAGCCTCTGCGCCGTGTCGTGTCGTTCCTTTTCGGAGCCGAGTGGATTTCGAGGTCGAGTGGATGGAACGTCCTTCACGTTTCCACTTCGACTAGCTCTGGGGCGGCTACTAGGTGCTCGGGCAGCTCGAGCTCAAGATCCAGATCAGTTCGGTCAGGACTCGAAGGCCACGGAGGACTCGATCCGCAACGCTACAGAGCACAATTGCGGCATGGCACATCGCAGTTCAGCACACCAGAGCATAGCACAGCGTTGGGCACGGTACACCAAGGTCGATACTTTTAGCATTGCGCTTGCCCGTCGCCCAATCAGGTGTTTTGAAAACGTTGCCACGCCTAACATTTCCATATCCCTTTCTGGGTTCGTGGGTCGATCATGTTATGTGCCCTTTCTCTCTGCATCTCTGTGATGTAGACGCGGTTCATAATTATCAATGCAGCGACAGAGAGTTGTCAGACTATGTCTTGTTTGTTATTTTTTTGTCCGTCGCGGCGCGGCAGAGGTAATCGGCTCGCGCGTTCGGGTAGCTGGGACAAATCATACTACGTGTCCGGCAGCACGAGAGAGACGGGCCAGATGGTGGCCGCAGGGCAGTGGCGGAGGGGGGAGGGCACCCGCAGTACGACGATGTTCGGCACGAGAGGCCGGCGTGGCCGGCCGTTGCTGAGGTGTCCTGGCAGTGGACGTGGAGCGGCGTCGCGCCCACACCCAGGGGTTGAGGCCAAGACTGCAGCAGTGGCGAAGCGTTCTGGCTCGCTTATAGCCCTCAATGTTCTAAGAGCCTTTTGTGGCTTCCACGGAATGTTCCTAGAACATTTCTGGCGGAGTCTTTCTTGTTTTAGCACATGAGGCTTAAGTTCTAAGAACAGTGTTCTTGTTTTTAGAACACTTTTGGGCTCTAAGGACATTTTGTGGTAGGACTCTATAGACATGCCCGGACGGTCGGCCCCTGCGCAAAAGGCTGCAGCTCATGTCTAGCAAGGGCCGCCATCTTTTGTGCCTACGGGTCGCTCAGCAGCCCATCGGGTGTCTCCCCGCCGCAGCCGCCAGCGGGCCTCGGCTGGTCGGTGCGGTTGCGCGGGCGTCTCGCCTAGAGCCCTACCCAAACAATGCTTTAAGAATTTTGTGTGGTTTCAACGACACGTTCTCAGAACATTTCTGGTTGATATTGTCTTGTTTTAGCGCATCGGGGTTATGTTCTAAGAACATTGCTTTTGTTCTTAGAGCATTTTTGGGTTCTAAGAGAATTTCGTGGTAGGACTTTAGGAATGCCGGGACGGTCCGTCTCTGCTCAGCTCTGGGCCCAGGTCAGCAGCAAGGTCGCGGAGGCAGGTCTCGCCTGGCGTTCCACGGCATCGTCTGGAGAGTCGCCGTTCTCCATGGTGTCGACGGTCCTCAGGGCGTGCGTTCGGTGTGGTGCGTTTCCACTCCGCGGCCGCTGGCGAGGTTCGACGGGTGGGTCTGGCGGTGCGGGCGTCTCGATCGACCTGCGATCCGTGCCAGCTTCATGGGCCCAGGGGCGCGGAGGCAGATCTCGCCTCGCGCTCCGCGGCCTTGTCTGGAGAGTCGCCCTTCGCCATGGTGTCGATGAATCTCAGGACGTGCGTTGGCCAAGTGCGCGTCACTTCTTTCAGCTCCACCGATCGCCGCCGATAGCACGCAGCAGGTGTCGGTCCTCGGGGCTTCGGTGGATCAGCACATGTTGGCGTGTGGTACCGCGCAGAAAAGCGAAGATGACCGCGTCTGCCGCCTCGCGCGGTGGAAGTGCCAAGTCGGGCGACGTAGGATGAGTAGTTTTCCCAGGGTGCCCTTGCATTCTTGCTTCTCGGTCCATGCTTCTCCTGGCCCTTAGCCCCAGACCACCAACTGGGGCTTTCCCATGGGCGTCCAAGCGTCACTGTGCGTCCTTGTGATCCTGTCGCCCTCTTGTGGGAAAACGGCGCGACGTTGCCAAATCAGATCGGCCCCGTCTATTGCCAGGCCGCCCAGGATGGACGAGCAACTCTCCAAGGCACCCCTGCATCCCTGCCCCTTTGGCCCAACGTCGGCGCCTTTCGCTGGCCAGCCCCGTTTGAGAGCGCCCACGTGGCCCTCCGAGGCCCTCGCGTCCTTGCCGCGCAGCCTTACCGTGCGACTCGACGGCGCTCCGACCCCATCCGGGAGGCCGCCTCCTGGGGCGCGCGGCGAGGACGGGCACCCCGCGCGAGCCCCGCCCTGCCCTGCCCGGCGGGGCCCGGCTGGCCGCCTTTTTCGGGGAGGTGGGAGGGAGGCGCGTGTGGCTTTCCGTGGGGTGGGCGCGTGAAGGTCGGGCCGGACGCGAGGGGGTGATTGGGACAAGGGGGGGTTAGAGTAGGGGCGCTGAAGAAGGAACCCTTCTCGTTGGGGAGGGGCTCGGTGTTCCTTGATTGTTTCACAGATTGCCTCAGGTTTTCCTTATGTTTTCGATGGGAAATCGAAGTTTAACTTATGGAAAAAAAGGGGCCTCGTTCCTTATTTGGGGTTCCTTAGGTCAACGCCCCGACTGTACGAAATCTGCTGCATGCAGCTGGTGTCGGCCCCACCGAGGGGCCCATTCCTCGATACATGGCCGCCTCCCGGCGCCGGGAGGCGCCAGCAAAGTCAGCTACACGTGAGCTGATTCTCGAACCGCCCCTTTGCTATCCCCCCTTCCGCCCGGACCCGAATGTCCAGGACCTTTTTTGGGACACATGTCGGGCATAGCCAGGACCCCCGTGCGCCGGTGGGTGATCGGGCCCCGAAGACCAAAAGGCTTGGCTGGAATCGCTCAGCGGGGTCTGCCGTAGCTGGCGTTCTCGGGTGGCTTGGCAGTTCGGGTTCGTGGGATGCTGGGGCGGAGGAGGGCGCCCCTCTGGCACACATCACCAAACCAGGTCACCCTGAACCACCACCCCATCACTGAACCAGGTCACACTAAACCAGGTCACACTGCACCACCACCACACCAAAAACCAGGTCACACCTAACCGGGTCACGCTCAACCGGGTCACACCGAGCACTGCACCAGGTACACATCACTGGAGGGTTGCCAACGCCCTAGCATGATGGGGAGCCACGGACACTGCGTCGATCTCCTCGTGCCTCCCCTCTGTCCCCGCTCGGGGAAGAGCTGCGGAGGTCTGCGCGCACGGCTCTCGGCGCCAGGGCCCCCATGGCGGCGCCTCCCCCCCCCCCCTGGCGGCGCCGCCGGCGCCGCCCCTGGCGCGCGGAGCGCGCGCCAGGGAGGGGGGTGTCAGCGCCGAGCCGCGAACTCATCGCGGAACCTCACAGGCGTTCCTGTCTGTGCCGCTTTTTCGCCTCGCCGCCTCCGAGCTGGAGAGAGGAGAGGCGGCACCAGCACCACCAGGAGGCCCACCTCCAGCGAGGAGGCCCACGATGCCTCCCCGAGCTGGAGCCTGGAATGTCTCGAGCGAGAGGGGCGGCAACCACGCCACCAGGGAGCCCCCCCTTGCCTCCTCACATCTCCTCGCCGTGCTGGTGCTGGTGCCTCCTCTTCCTGGTTCCTACAGGTAAAATCCGTAGTAAAGACGCGCGCCTGTCTCTAGGGTACCCCTGGGTCGCTGCCTGCCCCTGCAGCTGCGTCGCTGGGGTTACGGCCGCCTGCCGCCCAAAATGTCCCGACTTCGGCTTCCAAGGGTCTTGCGTCCTTACCACGCGTCCTTCATCCAGAGTTTGACTGCATCCGAGGAGGCCGTGGGACTGTCGGAGTGCTGCGTGGCGGACGGCCTCGCCGAGTACGTCCGCAAGGCTACGGACCTGGCGCGCGACCGCGGCGGCGTGCGCTCCGCAGCCCGCGCGGCCTGCGCGGCGCGGGTCTCCGCCGCGGAGCTCGGCGGGGAGCCGCCGCGCTCGGCGGTCGGGCGGACGGGGAGGCCAGGGTGCCCCCCCGGCGGGGCCCCGTCGGGCCCCGCCACCGCGGCGCGCTCCTCCCTCCTCCCTCCTCCCTCCTCCTCCCTCAACCCTCCTCCCTCCTCCCTCCTCCCTCCTCCCTGCTCTGCCCTCCTCCTCCTCCCCTCCCCTGTACCTCCTCCTCCTCCTCCTCCTCCTCCTCCTCCTCCTCCTGTACCTCCTCCTCCCCTCCTCCCATCCTCCCTCTCCTCCTCCCTTGCTTCTCCCTCCTCTCTCCTCCCTCCTTCCTCCCTCCTCCTCCTCCTTCTCCTGCTCCTCCTCCTCCTCGTCCTCCTCCTCCTCCTCCTCTCCTGCCTCCTTCGCCTCCTCCTCCTGCTCTGCCTCCTCCTCCTCCACGCAGTCCTGCGTTTCCGTTGCGCGTGGTCCTCCTCCTCCTCCTCCTCCTTTCCTGCGTTTCCCTTGCTCGTCATTGACTTCCTCCTGCTCTGCCTCCTCCTCCTCCTCCTCGCATTCCTGCGTTTCCCTTGGGCGTCATTGCATTCCTGCGTTTCCCTTGCGGTTCGTCGGCGTGTTCCTCCTCCGCCTCCTCCTCCTCCGCCTCCTCCTCCTCCTGTCCCCAACAACCTCTTCCGCCTCCTCCTCCTCCTCCTCGCTTCTCCTCCTCCGCCTCCTCCTCCTTCTCCGCCTCCTCCTCCTCCTCCTCCTCCAGGGGGGGCGGCAGAGGCGGCGGGCCTCCTTCGCAGACGTGTTCGCGTCGTTCCACAGATTCACGACAGCAGGTTCTTGTTGCCTTCTGCTCTGCCTCTGGGGGCCCGCGCTGCGCCCCGGGGCCGTGGCCTGAACGGCCCAGGACAAGCAGCCGTGTTCAGGGAAGGGGTCGGGATCTCTTGGGCCTCCGTACTCCGGAGGGCATACAGTCGGCGCGGATTTGCAGGTCGACTCCGCAACATCAAGGGAATTCTTGTGTCCTGTCCATCTCTCCTCATGTCCTCTGCGTGTTCGGACTAAGGGTACCCTTGTGTCCTGTGGTGGTTGGAGGCCAGGTTACCGTCGGAAGAGTCTCGTGTCCTGTCCCGAGTCCTCTCGTATGCGCTCCGACTGTAACCTATCGACCCGCACCTCAACGCGCGTCCAAAATTCCCCCCCAAACCTGGCCCAGGAGCTTGAGCCTCAACACTGCCATCCCCCCCAATCCCCCCCCCCGACGGCACTTGCCCCTTCCCCCGAAGCCAAGGGGGGGCGATTATTATGCCATCCCGAATAACCGGGACATCGCATTCCTGCGCCAGGATCGGGACGATGGAAAGGAGTACGGAAAGATAGGGCAAGATGCCCAGCAGCAGTTGCTGCTCATTTTGAACAGGACTCGCTGTCCGCGCCGCCGCGGACGCTGTCCATTCGAGATTCAAGGCGGCCTGCGCAACAGCGGCCGCGGAGGGTCTTGGATGACCACTGCTGTTGGGCACCGTGCCCCCTTTTTGCCCGTGACCACGTCGGGCGGCCAGAGGCAGGCTCGGGAGGAGCGCTGCTTCCCGAGGAGCTGTCCGAGCCGCCGCCGAAGCCACAGGGGGCCTCGCACGAGAGGCGGGGGGGGGTGGGCTTCCCGGAAGCCCCTGGGGTGCCTGCCGAGAGGGCCCGCTCCTCTCTGCCGCTCGCCCCCCTCGGCGCGCCGCCGCCTGCCCGGGGGGCGCGTGGCCTTGGGCTGCCGCTCCGAAGACGGCGGGCGGGGGGGGGAGAATCGGTTGGGGCAAGAGCCAACGCATGGGGAGAGGGCGTGGTTCTGGGCTCACGCAATGGGGTCTGGAGTTCTGTCGGGCGTGTCCCCCTACAGGGGGATTCTTGACGGGAGAGATGCCCCAAAAATACCCCGAAAGGGTCAACAAAAATACTAAAACCATAGTCCCCCGACTATGTTTGGACTATGTTTTGATCATTTTTGGGGTATCTCTTATTTTTCGTCGAAGCTCCCCCTGCATAGGCGGACAGCCCCGACTCAAGCCTGGATGTCGCCACCTCCCCGGGGCGCAGCCTCCGGCGGCGCCCGCCGAGCTCCGCGCGCAGACGCCCTCTTCAGCCCCAGCGCGCAGGAGCCCCGGCCGGCCCAACGGGGGGCTGAGCAGGTGGGGTGTTTGGACGCCCGAAATGGGTACTGAAAGAATGGGTACAATGCCCAACAACAGTTCCTGTTCATTTTCAACAGGATTCGCTGTCCACGCCGCCGCGGCCTGTGTCCATTCGAGACAGAAGGCCGCCTGCCCAACAGCGGCCGCTGTTGGCTTGGGACAACATTTGTTGTTGGGCATTGTACCCATTCTTTCGGTACCCATTTCGGGCGTCCAAAAGGTGGGGCCGAACTACTGCACGCCGGTCGTTGCAGGTATAGGTATTTGTCGCCTCCCTGATCCCGGTCTGCTTCCAGCGCCTTCCTGCGTCAGGAGTCGGCATGGTGCTGAGGTGTTTTGATGCTTCTCCTGGAGGGCCCGGGCCCAGTCTCCTCTAGCCGTCTTTCTACAGTGCCGTTTTTAATACACGCTCCGCGTGCGGTTCATGTATTAAACATGCAGGGATTTAGTAATAAAAACAACGATGAGTTCATGCATCAGTTCATTCACACATTAATCATGTATTAAAAGCTCATATATGTTCAAACATCCTATCTATTAAACGCTGCCCTGTACCTTTTACTTTTACCCTCTTCTTCCGACCGACGTGTACGCCGGATCGCCGATGCACCGTCGAGGCGGCTCGGGTTCGGAGCCCGACGTTCCTCCATCCCGACGCCGTCGATGCCTCGGCGCTGCCGTGCGATCCATTCGATCCGATGTCTGCTTCTCGGCGGCCTGATGCGGCCGAGGGAGGCACGGCGCAGCATATCCGATCCGATCCAATCTCGACCCTTGGCTTGGCATCGCTCGGACGTGTGCATTTTTCCTTCGGCGAGGGCCATCGAGGAGCATCCTTGACTATTTGGCGAAAGAACCACGCGCAAAACCGAAACAAAACATAGGGAATGGACGTCCGAGCGATGGCGAGTGGGCTGGTGCAGCCCGACCCGACGACCGCTCCGATTCGACGTGTTCTCCCGATCCGCTGCTCACCGATAGCGGTGCGGGGCCGCCGTGCTCGCGTGGCGGCGCCGGAGGAGGAGGAGGAGGCCGAGAGAGGACGAGTGAGGAGGAGTGACGAGGAGGAGGAGGAGGAGGAGGAGGAGAGGAGGAGGAGGAGGAGGAGGAGGAGGAGGGGAAGGAGTGGATATAGAAATGAGGAGTGAGGATGAGGGGGGAGGAGGAAGAGGAGGAAGAGGAGGAGGAGCAGGAGAAGGAGGAGGAGGAGGACGAGGACGAGAAGGAGTGGAGACGACTGATGTGCAAGGAGTGAGGGTGAGGGAGGATGAGGAGGAGGAGCGAGGAGGAGGAGGAGCAGCAGCAGCAGGAGGAGGAGAAGGAGGACGAGGAGGATGAGGAGGATGACGAGGAGGAGAAGGAGTGGAGATGACTGAGATGTAAGGA